TCAGTGCTCTTCCAGTTCTCCTGGGCACGGGCTATGCACCCAATACCTGCTGAGCAATCGTGGCCAGAATTGAAAGCACTGACTGCCCACTCTCTCATCTGTCATCAACATGTGGTACGATGGTGGAGACAGCTGAAACCCGTGAGCACCTCCCACCCACTTGATGGACCAAAATATACAAGACAACATGGCAAAAACGCGGAGAAACTGGAATCCTAACGCGCTGTTGGTGGAAATATACAACGATGCAGCCTCTCTGGAAAACAGCTTGGCAGTTCCTTGAAAAATTAAAACAGCAACTACGACCCAACCATTCTGCAGCTTGATATAGACCCAAGGAAATTAAACACTTAGGGACTGGGAAGTGACTGCTCAGGCATGGGTTTCCTTTTGAGGTGCTACAAATGCTCTGGAATTAGGCAGTGTCACAGTTGCACAACTCTAAATATACTGAACACCACTGAATTGTACACTTCCAAAGGGCGAATGATCTCAATAAATCTAGTAATAAGAAAACAAACTTGTGGGCTGTCCAAGTTCCAGTTACCGCCCAGGCTGAGAAGCATCTCTGCTAGAAGTCTCGTCCCCTGCAGCACTGGACACCAGATCCTAGTCCTAGAATGAAGCGTGTTCACCCTCAGATTAGGCAGGAAGTCTGTCTTATCTTCTCCCTAACTCCATGTTCCAAAGTCCTGACTCTGTCCTCCTGCATCTTTTTCCTGGGTCCACTGTCTCCCTGGGAAAGTACCTGAATGGTGGGTTCTACATCAAATACCCTCACCAGTCTAGGAGGCGTCATCAAGGCTGAAGATGCTGGAGGGGGCGGGGTCAGGCTAGCACCCAGCAGACTCAGTGGAATTCCAAACCCACTTCTTTGGGAAAAGGAAACTACAGAACTGTTTGCTGAGTGCATACTATGATACTATATGCTGGGCACAAAATTCGGTTCTTGCCAAGCCTTCGACTGCTCTAAAAGTAGCTACGCTCACTCCCCTGGACGTGAGGAGACCCACATCCGGTGAGGCTGTTACCTGTCCTGGTGGGCAGTGGCAGCAGGTCCTCTTCTCTCCAGGCGCCAAGCTATTGCCCAATCTGGACTTCTTTGGGCTTCAGGTTTCTCATCAGTAGAGGACACACAACACAATTTCTGGGGAGGTCCCAGAAGCACCCAGCTTTAATAAATTCCAGTCCCTGCTTCTCATGGATTGTGGCTTTTGTTGAGCAGGGAGAAGGGGAGATGGGTTATATGCTGTTTCCTATTCCAAACCCAACCACGATGGGCTGGTGGCATGAGACCCTTTGCTCTCTGGACATGGATGCACCGCCTCAGCCTCCACCAGGGCTGCCTCTCTGCTGAGCTGGGGTGGAGAGGGTCTGGGTGTGTCTGGAGAGGCCTACAATGTCCGCTTGGGCATGGGACTCCCTGGAGAGCAGGCCAGGCTTGGTCTGGACTTGGGATGCCCCAAGACTAGCTGCATGATCTCACGCAGGTTCCCTGACTTCTAAGTGCCTGTTTCTTGGGTGTGGAAGGGGAACCCAAGGCAACTTTTCCAAGCATGGAGACTGAGGCCTGGGCATCCTTCTCTCATGCCTCCCCCAACTCACCCCCCATCCACCCAGTCAGGATCAGGAGCCGCAGCAGGGGTTGGCATCTCCGCCCTCCCAGACAGGCGGCAACAAACCACAAAACACACATTTCCCAATCACATATGGCTTCTTTGACCCCATCAAATAACTTTATTCACACAAACGTCCCTTAATTTACAAAGCTTCAGTCATTCATACATATTAGGGGATCCACAGTGTTCAAGGAACTTAAATATAATGTATCATACCAACCCAAGTAAACCAAGTACAAAAAATATTCATATAAAGTTGTTCACACGTAGGTCCTAGATTACCAGCTTCTGTGCAAAAAAAGGAAATAAAGAAAAATAGACTTATTAACTAGTATTTAAAACTAACTTTGTGCCTGGCTTAAAACCTCCTTCACACTCAACTCTATCCCACATCAATGTTTAAGAAGTCACTGAAATATACTCCCTGCTCTGATGGAAAGCCACCCCTGGGCACAGAAGGGTCCAACTGCCCCTAAATAGGCTCCCTGCCTCCTGTGACCTCTCCTGGAAAGAGACCTACAGGGCCCTCCCTTCTGTCGCCCTCTGAAATCTCAGGGGCCCCTGGGCAGCCATGGCAGTGGATTCATCTCTTGGTGACGGCCCTAGATGCTAGCACTGGTCAATCTCATGTCACACCTACTGGTCACCTTTAAGGGCATCTCTGCAAACAGGAGCCTCCCCTGCCCCAGAGCCTAAGCAGGGCAGGAACAGAGACAGGCCTGTGTTGTCTTGAAGGCTGTGCTACAGCCGAGAATGACAGGCTGGCAGAGCCAGCATCTCAGGGCTTCTGCCTCCAAACGTGGTGGCCCGTGGAGCTGAATGAAGTCAGCTCGGCTGCTCTGAGGTCGCCAGGCCCTAGGAAAAGGGGACTGCCAGCAGCTGTGTCTATCTGGGACTCCAAACAGGCCCTGAAGGGAAAATGAGTCAAGAAGTGGGATGACCTGAGAACCACCTAGAGTCTATGAGCCACCAGTGCCCAGATATGGAAGGATGGGTGTGTGAGCACGACTGAAGGAGGGAGATGGACTTGGTGGGCAGAGCTAGAAGGGGGTGGCATGGGGCCAGGCTAGGGCAGAGAGCTAGGGTCCCCTCCTCAGGGGATGGCAGCCTGGCTCCTGCTGTCCCATTTCCAAAAGACACCCCAAGGCCAAAACCCAGATATCCACCCCATTATAATCTATCTTCCAAGAAGGTAAACAGCCAACAGCATAAAAAGATTCCCACAATGCCAGCTCTTCTCCTCTTAGAAAAAGATTCAAGCAAAAATAAGTCTTATTGCTCCAAACACTGGTTTTCTAGGTGGGAGACAACTGATATGTGAAGGAGCTGAGGACCCTGGAGGGAGGGAATGGCGGAGCCGGGGAATGTGCAGGGCAGGCGGCTGTGAGGAAGGTGGGGAGCGGTCTAGCACCACGGGTTCAGGAGCAGAGGGGTGAGGGGTGCTCACCCCTGCCCCAGGCATCTCTGCCTTCCTTCGCTCTGGGGCCCCCACTGGCAGCGCCCTAAAGGAGGCCAGGCCCTGTCCAGAGTCGGATCTCCACCCTGCATTGGGCATGTCTCCTCCAGCTGTAAACAGGGTATTTCTTAAGTAAACATGTAATACACTCTTTCAGAAAGGCAGCCATGGGGCAAACCACATCCTGAAGGGAGGAAAGAATTCCTATGCGCCTGTCCCGATGTCTCTGGGATGAGATGAGGCTAAGGCCGGTGACCTTAGTCCTCGATGCCCAGAACAGGGTCAGATGGAGCGAGTTTTGAGCCAAAAGACGGCGGCAACCTCCTGGCTAGAGGTAAGAGGCAGGGGACCTGCCAGGGAGTGAGAGGCAGTGTGCACCTGTCTGAAGCAGTTTTCCTGGGCTACAGTTGCTAGTGAGTGCCGCTGTGGAGGACGGGGAGATGTGGACCTGGCTACAGCCCTTGGGAGGAGGGCGTGGGGATGGGGCAATCCTTCCCCTGTGGCTCTCTGGGAGTGGAAGAGAGAGCAAGTGACAGGTGGACACCGGTAGGGAAAGACAGAGGTCACACACTTCCGGCTGATCCAGATCAGGGGAGGACAATGGAATAAGGCACTACGATCTGTCCTGCTGGTTCCTCTCAGACCCGAAGGGCTGTGGCCAAGGGCCTTCCTCCAGCAGGCTACCCTCTGCAAAGGGCCAAGGAGAGAACCAGCGACTGCTGCTTGAAGGTCTGGAAACTCCTGGGATGTGGACAGGTCGAACACTCATTGGCGCTAATACAATGCACCAGAGAGTGGCTGGCAGGTGGGACCTGGTGAAGCAGCAAGAGGAGGGAGCAACAAGAGGAAGCAGCCCCCAAGGAGGAGGGGGATGGCACCGAGGCTGCAAGTGCACCAGGGGTACGCTAGCGCTTCCTTGGGGCCAACTTGTGCCCAGCTGGCCGTGTCTGAGGTGGACATGGTGGAGAAAGCAGGAGAGGGGAGGAGGGCAGACAGGCACGTGGCCAGAGAGTGGGCTCTCATCTGCACCAAGGAAGAGGTCCTGCTGCCAAGAAGACAAGAGGGTATGGAAGCTGGCTACCCCCACAGGGACTACTCCGACACCAAGAAAAATAATGAAGGGAAGCACTACAGCTCCAAGCTCTTGTTTAGACAGAGCTATGGAACCCGGGAGGGCAACAGACAAAGATGTAAAATGTAGGGAACCTGTTAGGCTGCAGCCAGGGACAATGGGGGTGCGGGGCTGGGGACTGTTTTTCCCGTTTGCTCAAGTACAGAGAGACAGCTGCCCCTCAGGGAAGGTAGGGTGGTGGAGCAGAGGGGGAACGGGCACTGCAATCAGGGGATGCTGCCGTTCCAACCTCTCAGCTCTAGTTTGTGCACTCAGGATGCCTGAGAAGTCGGAGAGGAGGAAGACAAGAGGCAGACAGTCATGACGGATGCCAGCCCAGGAAGGGAAGGGCATGGCCACCACCTCCAGTCCTACGGGATCCTGCTAACAGCAGCCAACCCTCTATCCACACAGAGGAAGAAAATGTGTGTGGAGAGGCTTGAGAAGGGTGACGCATGTGAGCAAACATACTGCCACATCTGCCCTGACATTGCGGTCTCCCATAAGCGCCCAGGGCCAAAGGATTGCTGCTTTTGGGGGGAAAGCACCCCTTTGGTCACATACCAACTGAAATGTCCTCCAACAAACTCCCCTGTCAATCCTATGCTGGCGTAGGTAAAACAAAAATCAAAAACAAAGCATTCCCTCCCCTTCCCCAGAGACTGTCCTACTTGGCCATAAGGGGGTGAAAAGCCTTTGAAGTAGACAAAGGTGTGTCCAGACAAGCAATGCAGAAGGACACCCCTTTCTCCTGGGGGGGGCAGAACAGAGGGGTTCAGAGAAGCAGCCGGGGAGGGAGGCCTCCCCTAGGGAGGTGCCAGAGCACAGCTGGAGGGTGCAAGGATGGCTACAACAGACAGGCGTGGGCGGTGTGGGGTGTGGGCTTGAGGCCACGGCTGGGGAAGATGAAGGTGGCAAGTCCACAAATGCGTCCCCAACGGCCACACAGGGTCTACCCAGGCCATGACACCTCCCTGCTCTGGGCAGGGGCATTATCTCCCCAGCAGACACATTTACACTTAGTGTGGGCACCTAACCGTAAGTCCTGGGAGAAGGAAATGGCGCTTGACAGTATGCGTCACCGTGTATGAATGACACCATGGGTCCAAACACGGGCATATCCTTTACTGCGATGAGACAACAATGGCAGCCAGTTCAGGACACCCTATTATCATGGCAATATTCACACCCAGATCTCAGGCTGACTCAGTCTCTGGGACACTTGGACACCGCAGACGGATCTGGGAGGACAACCCAGGAGGCAGCAGGTGGGGGCTGACCTCACAGCAGCGACAGGTGCCTGCTGAAGACCCAGCTACATCCCAGGCAGAGTTTGGCACGACAGTTTTTCCTAACAGAAAGGTAGGCTCACAGAACTGGGATGGCTGCTCGACTGCCAGCAAGTGGGAGATGCCCTCGCCACCTCTCTCTCAAAGTTACCAGTTAAAGGGACAGAAGAGGAAGAGACTCCCACCAAGTCCTGGGTGGCCTGGGGCTTACAACAGCTTAAAGAGAACACAACCCGGAGTTTATCCCTCTTTCTTGAGTTCTCCTGGCCAAACCCTGGCCCTCCTCTTCCAGATGGTTCTTCGTCTCTGATTATTTCTGAGGCCCTGGGACTAGCCAGGGCCAGCCCACAAGGAGTCTAGCTGTTCCTGCATCTGGCAGGGAGGTAGCCCAGAGGCACCTTGTCTTCACACCAGGTTCCAGGAGAAACCCCAGATTCTCTCTGGGGAGCAGGCCTTCTCTGGAAAAGTGAGTGTCAAGCAGAACTGAGAGATGTGTACAGAAGGAAGACAGAGGGAAAGTAAAGACAAAACCAAAAAGAGCTCCCTAACCCCACATACAAATTAAAGGTGAAACGTATACATATGCCTTGTCCACATTAGATTTCTTTAAAGAAATTGGTGCCTGTCCACAGCATAGCTTCCTGCTCTTCTGACGTCTCAATGGTTTAAATTTAAAAAGTAAAAAACCAAAAAAGAAAGAAAGAAAGAAAGAAAGAAAAGAAAAATTAAGCAAAACTAGAAGGGAAGAGAAACCCAAACAAAGCTTCACATTGCCGGAGATCCAGCTGTCGGGAGGTCGCCAACCGGCCAAGCCACCACCTGTACCCTCTGCCGTCCTCTGTAGGAGACATGGTGAGACTGTGGGTCCCGAGGGATCGACCTGGAAGACAGAAGGCAGGCAAGGAATGGACATTGGGTCAGTGGGCCTGGGTGCCAGTCCCAACCCAGAGGCGTGCTGAGGTGGGTGTGTGCTGGGCTGGGAAGAGTTCTCTAAACATATCGAGCAGACACAGCTTCACGACAACTGCCTGCCCTAGACGCACATTATTTTTTCAGATAGAGAAACTGAGATGCAGGTTGAGTTACTCACCCAAAGTCACAACGACTAGGGGCAGATCCTAGCTGGGAACCCGAACATGTAGGCTTCGATCTGACCATAAACGCCCACTTCCCTGTACCATTAGGGGACCCACCACGGATGGTCTGTCCCCACAGACTTTGCCAGCAGCGCACATCTCCCTCCTCACCCTCTATGACTAACTTTGCTGCTGTAAATGTCACGGCATCCCCCTCGAGGTTTCGTTATCCTGTCTTAGAGATAAGGAAAGTGAGGTTCAGTCCTCCGAGAGCTTGCCAGGCTACCTGCCAATGTACTAAGAGGGGCCAGAGACCCACACTCAGGGCAGTGTTGGACTCACAGCCACATTTCCCAGGACAGCCATGTGGCCCTGCTCAACACACAGGACACTGGGGCATTCAGAACGAGGGGCCAGCACAAGGGCTGAGTAAATGGGCTTTACTCTTTATTGTGGGTAAATTTAAGGCCTCTGGTGCCTGGCCTCAACACCCGTACCTACGTCACAGGCTATTAAGCAGATTAAACAAACTAATACATACAAAACAGAGAAGAGTACCTGATCCTATTAGTATTAGCTATTATTTGGCAACCGCCATGGTGCCAGGCCTCACGAATAGGACAAGAGGCCTGCCCTTCAGGGGCTTATTCTAGAGGAGCCTAGAATATAAGAGCCCACAGAGAGATTAGCTGTGGGCCAGTCCCCACTCTGAGCCCCTGATCAGTACTAAGTATAGCCCTGCCCTGGCAGGACAGGCTTCCAGGGCAATGATGCTCTAGCCTCGCTGCACGTGGAACTGAAGAGCTGTTATGGCGCCTGTTCTCAGTCTGAGCGATCGAAGTGGAAAAGTCTTATACTGTATAGTTCAATACTCCCCACACCCCCTTGCCTTCCTTGCTCTGTAAGGCAAAACATTTTCTGCAGGCTGAGGGGTGGCCTCCCAGTCCAGCAACTGACTTCCATCATGTGCCACCTGTTCAGTCTGACAACACTGGCCTGTCATCTTCAGCTCCCGGGGAGGCACCCAGCTAGTCCTCCCAGAAGTGGGGTAAAGCGACATGGGACAATAAACTTTCTGTCTACCTCAATTTCTTTCTCTGAGCACCGAGGGATCTTTTTTGAGGTCTGAGTGGAATGACAACTGTGAAGTACCCAGCCTGCTAACATGCTGGAAGAGCCCACCCTTTCCCAGCCAATTGACCTCAGCCAGAGATTGTGAACGTGTCAGACTGAAACAGGCCATGGTTCTCAGTCAGTCAACCATCAACTCTGCTTCGGCTGGGTGAGGATGCACAGGAAGGGCATGTCCCATGCTGCTGGAGGAGGGTAAAGAGCTTCTAGAAGGCAGTCGGCCATGTGTTTTCAGAGTCTTAGATGTGTGCAAACTGGGAGCTCCTATAATTTCACTCCTGGAAGTCAAGCTTAACAGATAATCCTAAATATGAAAAGGACTTTATGAATAAAGACATTCACTGGGGTATTATTTAAATTATGAGGCAATAACCTCAAGTGCAAAAATAAGGGATAATTAAGCAAATGATCCATCAACTCAAAGACATACTACAGAGGAATCAAGATGGTTTTGTGGTTTTCTGAACATTATGGCAGAGGCACCTCCCCGGGGTAAGGGAAAGGTATAGGTTATAACATTGTGCAGCACACAGTATGACCACACAAATGTGAAAAAAAAAGCCCTCTGTGTAGGAAAATCTTGCAAGAAACACATTAAAATGTTATATTTGGACCAGTGGGCAGGCAGGCGGGTAAGCGCGGGGCCGGGATGAGCCTGCTGGTGCCGCAGCCCCACTGGGGAGGCCGGGGGCTGCCCGTGCCACATCGGGCCATGGCGTTCCTGGCCAGCCCGCCACCACACCTGCAGTTCAATAAGTTCATGCTGACCAGCTACCGGCCCGCCAGCAGCGGCTCAGGCTGCCTGCGCAGCCTCTTCTACCTGCACAACGAGCAGGGCAACATCTACATGAACAGGGCCCTGCCCATCATCCACTGTACCCTGGCCTGCAGGCCCTGGCTGCGCCCAGCTGCCCTGGTGGGCTACATTGTGTTATCGGGTGTGGCCAGCTGGTGCACCCTCACAGCCCCCTCCACCAGTGCCCGGCTCCAAGCCTTTGGTTGGCAGGCTGGTGCCTGCCTGCTGGCGTTTGGGGCCCGGGGAGTGGGACTGGGCTCAGGGGCCCCAGGCTCCCTGCCCTGCTCCCTGTGCATGGATGCGCTGGCACCACTCGGGGTGCTGGTGAACGTGGCCCGCCTGCCCGAGCGCTGGGGCCCGGCCGCTTTGACTACTGGGGCAACTCTCACCAGATCATGCACCTGCTCAGCGTGGGTTCCATCCTCCAGCTGCACACTGGCGTCGTGCCTGACCTGCTCTGGACTGCCCACCACACCTGTCCCCTGGACTGAGCTACCTGCTGCACCGGCCTGCTACAGCCTCCCAGGGCCAGCACCACCTGCTTTCCTCCCACTGGGCTGTACAGGGCTGGCTCCCTGGATGTTGCCGGCGCCCAGGAAGTCTCGACTGGGAGCCCTCGTCTGTTCATCATTTCTTCCCTATAGACTAAACTCTTCTCCCACCATGGGGCTCCATATCGCCCACTCTGCCTTCTCCCTCCTGGCTGCTGTTTTACTGTGCTAGCTAGAAGGAAGCCTTTCCCTCTGGGCCTGTTTACCCTGTCACCTGTGAGGGTTGGGCCAGAGGGACTCTGGAGTCAACTCTCACTGTGGCAGTTGGAGTCCTGCCAACTTAATGGGCCACCAGCCCAGGGCCATCACCCCCCCACATCCCCCACCCCCACCAGCAGCCAGGCACTCACCCGCCCATCCCCCTGTCCAGATACTGTGGGGTGAGGCATTGGGGTATCAGGGCCAAGTAGGCACTGGCTCTCCTTGTATCAGTTGGCCACAGGACACAAGGGCTGCTGCTGCTGCTTTTTACAGGCAGCTGGCACATAGAGCTGAGCAGCCAGCTCACAGGACCCCTAGGCTGCACACCCACCCTCCACCTTGAGTGCCGTGCTCCCAAGGCTTGGCCTGCCCACCAGGACATGCGTACTCAAGAAATCTCTTGGTACACACAGTGTGGCTCTGTTCTGCTGGCCTTGGGCCTGGGGCCCTGGGGCTGGGCAGCAGGGCTCAGCCTCAGGGCCCATCCCAGGGCCTAAGACCTTGGGCAACGTCAGTAGAGGGACAGGAAGGGCTGTGTTGCCATAAGAGCAAGCTCGGGTGCTCCCAAGATTCAAATACCTTTTAATAGACATGGCCAGGCAGAGGGGACTACGGGAACTCCCAGAGAGACCCTAGCTTTCAAGAGGAATGGGAGAGAAGTGGGCTAAAAGGTTAAAAGTGCAGAGGCAGAGCCTGAACTCAGGCTGGGTCAAGGGAATCCTCAAACAGGCTGAGGAGATTGCAAGGCTCGAAGGAGGGGAAGGAGCCCTGAGGCGGCTGCAAGCCAATGTCACTCAGGTCCAGGGCAGCCCTGGAGGAGGGAAGAGACCGGAAAGCCAGCCCCATCCATCCCAGCTGGAACCTGCTCACCTGGGCACGTACCTCCCGGGCCAGGAGACCCTCAGGGGACAGTAAGGCCTGCAGGGTGCGGGGAGAGAGCAGGGTGGGGGGAGTTCAGGACACAACCAGCTGTCTTTCTGCAGGCTCCTGTCTGAGGAAGGGGCAGGGAGCCACCATTGGGACAATAAAAACTTGGTGCATTTTGAAAGAAAAAAAAATGTTGTGTTTGTCATGGATCTTCTCCTTTTCTTACTTTTGATTTTTAATATTGAACACACACCACTGTCATACTTTTTATTAGGAAAAACAGGGTACTTTATTGAACAAGAAAAGTTGGCAGCTCCAACAGAAAAATCCGGATGTGTGCTCTTGTCTAGACTCTTCCACGCACAGTGGACAGAGGAGTGCTCTTCACACCTGTCAAGCAAGAGGTTAGACCGTGTGATGCCCTGCTTTACTGCCTGGGGGGGATGACCCAGTGTCTGTCTGGAAGAAAGTGGGGGTGGCTAATCTGGAGGGAAAAAAAACCAGATTTCTTGGGCCCAAACTTTCACTCTGCTGTTTTTGTTCCTCTGTTAATTCCCCTCACCAAAAATCCATTTGTGATTCCTGTATCCTACTTTTTGATTTAGAAAGATAAAATGATCATAAGCATACTCTCTGATGATTCAGCAGTCATCTCCAACTCTAGCTTTACTTAGCACGCCTACTGCTTTCTCCCTCTACTCCAGCAGATACAGCAGATCAGCCAAAAAACCGGGAGGGGGCATTTAGGGTGGGCCCTCACCATCTAAGACATTAAGCCCTTGTGAAATATGATGAGAAAAGCCCAGGAAACGCATGGTCACATGTGATGTGCTACACGATAATCTCTGGGACCAGCTAGGACTTTCCAATCTTCCTTTCCTCCCTCCCCAGGTAGGACCCAAGCTGAGGACCTAAAAGGATAGCCATCAGGAAGGTAGCACATGGCAGTTGAAAACCAGTGCTGCCAAGGAGGCAGATTCCGAAGTCAGAGGTTCCTCTTTGCATAATCAACCGGCTGAACAGTGTGTGCCTGCAAAAGGTCACATCACCAGCACAGAGCTCTGCAAGAGCTCCTGGGACACCAGCCTGTAATGACCACTGTAATCACCAGGTCCCATGCCAGGAAGTGAAGTTGACATTTCCCAAAGGCTCCTCCACCCTCCCTCCAGCACTTGGCACTGGCTCTGGTCCTCCTGTTGGGGCCTCAGAACAGACCGCAGGTCTGAGTCTAGTTCTCCCTTGTAGGCAGGGAGAAGGA